ATTCACAGCAGTTGCTAGCTCCTTTATTCTCCATTAAAGCTTCCCTTTCAATTGAGGGCTGAGCAAGCTGAAGCTTGCTCTTCTAAGTACTTAGTACTAACCTTCAGAGGTCACAGATCCCAAACTCCGCAATATTGCTTGGAGATGACCCTTTCAACCTGGACCAGAGGCACTTGATACGGCTTCTATAGTCACTGTAGTTATCTTCCATACATTTGAGGTTCTCCTTAACTTAAAGTGCAAGTCCCCCTCCTCCCCTCCCTCTCTTCACAAAACAGCCCATCATATTCCTCCAGTCATTGGACTTGTCCTGTCATGTTTCAGTTACTCCCATGATTCCTTAACTTTCTGACTAGATGTAGAGCTCCTAGTGTTTATTCTCCAGGCTCTGCACACTTGTATAAATACACATGAGGTGCCAGGTCTTCCTGAGAAGCAGCTAAGGAACAGTTGTCACTGCTCTGATTGGTCTGGCTTATTTCCCAAATGGCTACAACAGCAACCACTTAAAACCACCACTTAAACGGTTCTCCCCATCAGATTCATTTCTTTAGAGGGAAGTCACTACAGAGAATTCAGCTTGCCTGTCTAAACCTCTTCACACATTGAATTGTACTTGTTACAACAGGGATGCTTTGGCTGACTTGAGGCATCAACTGGACAGCTATTGTGCTCCAGAAGACGGCAGTCTGATGTTTAAGCAGAAGTATGGTATTTGTGTTAATGCACGTGTGGCTGCACTACTCAGTCATACGAGGTTATGACATTAGCCTCTTAATACTTATGAAAAAGCAAATGAAAGTATGTTTAAGCTTTATGTACTATATATGTTATAAATTTCCTAAGGCAGATATCACACACTGACATTTTAAGACCTTAATTAAGGTTGATTTATTTACAAATGGTATGTTTTCAACTCTCAGAAATGATGTATTTAATGTTTTATTTTTAAACACAATTAAAAAATAATATATAAATATATACATACTGCAAATGTAATACAGATAACAAATTCATTTAAGCCCATTTATGCACATTAGTGACACACCATGTGGCAGAAAGACTAGGACGACAAGAAGACCCCGTGGCGATTTATTTTATATTAAATCCCTAATGGCCTCTTCTCATCTTTGCAAAAATATGCACAAAAGTCCAGACTATGCAGCCATTGAAATGAATGGTTATTTATTTGCTAAACGAGAACCCTATGTTTAATGTTCCTTAGACATAAGGTAGTCTGCAAAAGTCGCATTCCTACAGCTCTATACATCATTTATTTTACATACCCTAACTTCTCACAACAGGCATCAGAAAAATACTTTTGAGCCATATTGTTATTGTAAGTTGCTGAGAATTTTGTTTCCAATTCCATTACTGGAAGATTAAATGTTAACATGTTTACTTGGGGTTTTTGCATTAAAAACAAATTCATGGACCAATCTGCCATTTAAAATACGTTTACATTTATACTGAGAGAAAAAAGTTGCCAAATATACCATGTGTATATACACATAATCATTACACACAGACAACAGAAGTTCAAATCTCCAAAGACACACTTTGTAATCTCACTTAGTTGGGTATAATGGTCTACCTAGAACTTGTCTGACATGCTTCAGCTAAGATAGAAGTTCTTGATTTGCTCTACAGAAGTATTAAAAACATCACTTTTCAAAATGCGGAAAAAAAATTGTCCAAAGTAGTGAAACAGTGGTGTTTCTTACTAATGCTACAAAGTAGCTTTAAAATTAAAATTAAACTGTATCTCCAAGATAAGACTGTTTTTGCACAAGAAGATGATAAACCCTGCACCAAACACTTGTATTTCTTAAAATTACTGTTGCTGGGACTGCCACTGTAAGTTCCTCTGAGGCATAAAGCCGCAAAGGGGGAAATTGTTACAAGAGACAAAACTTCCTATTGGTACCATTCCCAACTCATTTGGCCTATGGAGGCTACCTAAGGACAGTCAAGCTTCCCATGGCAGCATGAACTTGCAGGTCACTTGTGACAGCAGCCTCTGCTGTGGATCTGACATGTTCTGTAAGCTTTTAGAAGTGGCACACAACCTCTACAACCTGGAAACTGTCATTACGAAGTATGTGGATGCCATGGCCAGAGGCATGAACCTCAACAGGCCTTCAGAACATACTCCCTTGTCTGTCAGAGTCAGTAGCAGACAAATATAGAACTTGTTTTTAACTGACTGACCTGCTTCCTCAGGTGGTAATTGATTTTCTATAATTCTAAGTTCTGTGAGTAGTTAGAATAAATTTTTGTGGACCAGCAGATAAAAGACCTAGTACAACAAGCATATTATTAATCTATGTTATAAAGAGCCATTTCAGCTGAACTGAACATTGATAAAAAAAAGCAGAGAACCGACTTTGCTTTACAACAGTATTCATTTCTCAGGAAGAAAATTACTTTCCCAGAAAGTTGCATTGAGAAGACATTTCTCAATTCCAAGAGAATTCCAGTAGCAAAACAGCAAGATACTCAAAGGGTATAACAAAATGTAACAGAAATTAACAGTAACACATGCATTGAATATTGCTACAATATCTTAAAAGTAATCATTATTATGTCTTGGAGAAACTTCCCAGCAAAGGCAACAAAAGTAACTGTGATCTGGGCAGTGTCACTTTTATTTTGCTGTTCTCTTCAAAAATAAAGTGGTCGTGTATGCAAAATTTAAGCAGTGTGCACTCTGACAGCCAGTCACTGGTGACACAGGTCTGGTTTCAACTTACAGCTTTAATGCCACCTAAATCCAGGAAGGCCAAAGGTGGTTATCTCAAGAAATGCAAAGCTGCATACAGACTCTCTCTAAACACATTCACACAAAATGACTGCCCAATAGAAAGCACTTTAATGGAAGATACGTTATTTGTTGGTTATTAAGGAAAATAAGTGACCTTGCAATATTTCTGAAGAAGCAAAAACACAAACACACTAGAGATTCAACACCTGTTGCCAAGCCTATTCTTCATATTTCCTTAATATTTAATCAGGTAGCATCTGTGGAGCACTTTGAGGATGAATAACAAACTACCATTATTATTGCCAAGAAAATCACAAATTCATTACAGTTTGTGGATTCTGAGTTCATAACAGAACTCTGAATAGACAGGTCTGGACAGTTTTGTCATTAATTTTCTTATACGCATTGTGCTTCTGACACTGGGTGAAGTAACTACATCCCTATCATTAATAAAACTGAGTAAAAAAACATATTTTGCTGGCCAAGAACCAAAAATGAAGGTGTTCAGGAAACATTTCAACAAAGAGCTGTAATGAAGCAAATTCAAAACTCATCTCCATCCCAATAACTTCACACACATTATATCTAGGGAAAAGAAAAGCAGTTAAACCCCTGAAAAGTTAGTCCTTTCTGGCACAAACTATTCACAGCAGAACAACAGCCATCAAAAAGCAAAGGAAAGTACCTGTGACCTCCAGAAAGAAATCCCATCACAAATACTAGAAAAAAAATACTTAACAGACTAAAATCATCTAACATCAGTAAAATTCGTTCACTTTGTTCTTACAGGCAAGCAAATTTCCTCTGCCCTCCACAATGACCACTAGCTAAGTAAGAAAAACAATTATGAAACATTTACTGCTTAACTTCCAAGTTAAGTCAGCATCACATGTTACACTTCATCGAAAAAAGGTTGAAAATTTGCCTACTTTGAGAACTAGGAATACCCACTCTTGACAAAGTCAAACTGCGAGATCCAGCCAAAAGGAAGACAAGTTCTGAGTTACAATTAATTTGAGCATATAGAGTTGCAAAGACAAGGTCAGACTGATCTACCTGGAGCTTAGACATGTGGAACACAAGGTCTGTATTCTACACAGTTATTAAACATAAAACAAACAAAAGAAAATGCAATGTGCTAGCTAGCTCCTGATTAGCTCCAGGCTCTGTACAACATTAACTGAAACTAACAGAGTAAAAGAGAAATATTTAAAACAAAAGAAGATGAGGATTTTATTAAGAACTTTAGAAAATCCCGTTTTCTTTTTTGGAGATTTATCTTACAATATTCTTTCCCCATCCCCTTTCTGCCCAGCCTCAGCATAATTTTTAGGATCAAATTATTGTTCATAAAGCAATGCTGTTTTTATGGTAAAGACTGCTTAATATTGAAACAACTAATTCAAAACTAATAGATTCTACTTAATTTCTTGAAGCTTTACTACCCAATTTGTTTTTTATATTTAAGTATGCAAGCAGAAATCTATGGATAATTATTAGCTGGATTGTAACAAAAACTCCTTCAACCACAGAAGCATTTTTGTAAAATGCATCACAAGACACACATACTAAGAAATCTCTTAGGACATACAAGGCAAGAACTATTCAAGAGATTTTTTTTTTTTTTCTAGTAGCATTTGACGTAAAAAAAGATAGTTTGGATTTAGTGCAAAAGTAGACAAAAATTTCTTTTACATTTCAAATACTTTTGTATAGGTGACCTTCATGCAAATGAAGGGACTGAAAATTACAAACACATACTATATAAAGATGCTTAAGTTACTGATTTTTTTTCAGACCACTTAGGTTTTATTACTAATCAATATGCCAGTACGCAAACTTCAGTGAGAAATAACAGCATCATGTCATACTTGTTCAGTGATCTAAGCATTCATTTTTTAAAAATAATATTTTTACATAATATCCAGAAATATGTAACTCTCCTTCAGATCAAGGTAGAAAGCTCACACCTTCAATTCATGCAAAGGTTCCAACTTGTTTATGCCACTGTTTTTAACACACCATGGTACAATCTAAAGGGAGGGAATAATCATAATATCATAACAATGAAAGTCAGACAACAAAAATCTACTAGTTCTCTCAAAGTTAATTAAATCACTGAAAATTCTGTTCATACTGCAAAAAATACTGAGAAAACAACTTGTTCACAATTTCTTTTAAAGAACCATCTCCATACGCAATCAGGCTGTTAAACATGTTTTAAGTTTTGTCTTACCTCCAGTGTCATGTACACAGTGCTAATTGCTACTTTGATTTCTCCATCTGAAATCTCCCTGAGATCCTTGAGCATAACCTCCTCAATACTTGCACCTGTTTAAGAAAAGAAACAATTTTCCATTTATACAATTATCTGGAGCAGACAGATGCATCAACGTAAGTTAAAAACACAGCTTAGACCTTACCTTAATGCTGAACCTTCTTTCTGTACTTCAGAACATCACATGAGAAAATTAATTAACATTAATATTTCAATGCTTAATGTTTCTAGAGGGATTTTTTTTTTTTTTTAAGAAAGAAAGCAATTTAAAGGAGGACACACACTAACAACAAGTATGAAGAATTAAGTCTCCTGCAACACCTGTGTTCTTGTGTGAACACTGAATTTTTGAAGTGAACATACTTCCAGCTGATGATAAATGTCTAGCTAGACAATTTCCATGGTCTAATATGAAATCACAAATATAAAATTACTTCTGAAATAAGTAATATAATGGAAAGCACCTGTGGACTATTATGGTGTTTATGAAATATTCAAAATCAAGGCATTTTAGATACTCTGTAAACACAACCATTCAATCTTTCTGACCATCTTCACAAATCGGTAACACCAATGGGTTTTTCTTATGTACATCGAATCATTCATGAACGAAGTGTATGTTTATGAACCACAGAAACACTCTCATCAGAAACAATGGCGTAAAACAAGAACTGCAACCAGACACATTGGTAAGTTTAAGCACAAGGTATTGAAAATCCAGGTGGCTAGTTTCCCTCACTGAACATGTTTGTCCAAAACAAATACATATTATGTAGAGGAACATAACTACATCATATGACTGCAACGCAGACCTGATAGCCAAATGTCTGTGTAAAGAATGCTTCAAGCCATCTAAAATGTCCACCAACCTTTAAGGCACAGCAGTTTAGCATCCACCACATGTTTGTATAAATGATTTTCAAGAGGGAAACAAATACCAACTTGAGTCAAAGAAATTAATCCTTTCATTACTGTTCTTTGAGTCCAGCTACTGCAGTCAGTCCAATGACAAGACGAACATTTACACATCTGTCATGTAAAAATTTTTGTATATAACCTGTAGACTTTCTGGGGGGCTGCAACATATTGTGCCTCAAATAACAAATGAATTCAAGCCAATAAATCATTAATTCTGCCAGAAACAGAATTTTTTTTGGCTCAATTGTCCTAATGTTGCCTCAAGTAACAGGTAAATAAGGTAAAATACTTAGCAGAAGTTACATAGGGGCTCCTGAAACTTAGCAACATCCTACTAAAAGAAGTGTCACATGCAATATGTGCATCTGTAATATGAATACACAGTAAATATGTACCTTGTAATACATCAAAAACAGAAGCTATAAGCAAAAAAAAATAAAAAAGAGTGGAGGACAGTACCCTCCCCATGCCTCATGTGACATATATAAATTACTGGCAACCAGGACCATGCAGACTAGACCCACTACACATACTTGTCCAAGTTTCGCATTTGCTATTACAGAAAACTTCATGACAAACAGTATTAAACCATTTTCCTTGGCAACTGGCAGAACTAAGTACTGACTTCCATAAAAGCCACTTTCACTGCCACTTTCCAATCTAGACTGCATACAGCTCATTCCAGAACTATGATTTCTTGAACTTAGGAGAAATCATGTGAACGGTTATAGACCTGAACTAAATTAACTTGTAATCTCACTGAAAGAAAGGGCAAATTCTGTCTTTATCTACCAGACAGGGCAGCTGTCTCAGACTGATGGTCTGAATTTCAACGACTACTTTCTGCATATGGGAAGATAGAGAACAAAAAAAGACCCTTAATCTGCATGGACCCTGTGCTTACCTGATGTATCTAACAGAGAAATATCCCTACGAATTTAATACTTACTCTTTGGTAAAAGCTTGGCAGCAAATATCAGTAAAAAAATGCAAGAGTTATTGCAACAATCTTCTTCAGCTTTCAAGGCATCTCTTCAAAAGCCTGCTACTAAATTTTGGGTCCAAACATTGCCACTTTAGATCACTGAATATTTCTATTTGGTATTTCTATCAGAAGAAAGGAAAAGAATTGCAACTTTCCCACTGCATCATCAATGTGAGTCTGATGTCAAATTCACTTCACCTGTACACAGCCCTCAGTAAATCTGTGTCATAAAACAAAATCTACTTCCACACCACATAGGCAATTGCAACACAATTTCTGCCCATGGGCTGACACATTTTTTATGTCCATGTGAATCAACATAAATTGATGAGCTTATACTTGTAAAAGCAATATAAAAAATGAATTGTTAACTTTATCTGCAAAAACAATGAAATATTATTTATGAGCTAAGTAGTTCCTCAAAAGAAATCATAATTCCATGATTTAGAATGTAAGCAACTTAGTTTAAAATTAATATACAACATTTAACTGTCAATGAAGATAGCATGCTGCATCTATTTTCACCACAGACAATATTCTGATAAGTTACACAAATAAATTTGTAACAGGTCTGAAAAATGGAAGGAAGTTGCACTACCTTGGGCATTAAACTGCGTTTCCTGGAGAACAGAGATAATTTCCTCTCGTGGGGGAAGATCTGGAAACCTTTCCTCCAAGGTGGACAGTACTTTCTCCTGCTGCTCTGTCATATTGTCAGTTTCCAAAGACATGCACTTGAAGAGAATGCTCCCTGAAATATTGAAAGACAAAAAAATCAATGTCTTTGTAAATATCAAAGAGGAACTATTGAAACAGAAGTTTTACTGTATTGCTTCCCAAGCCCATTCCTTCTTGGAGGTTGTTTCCACTGAGAGCTCACTGAATTCACACAGAAACATCCTTCTAACATGAAGCTCCTAGATCAGAACTGGCTGCCTCCTCAGTACCTCTGCTACAGCTAATTGTCTGGTCCCAGGGCTGCCACAGGGTGCAGCGTGCTTCTGTACACTAACAGGGCAGTGCAGCACAGCCAGCAGCAGCTGATGGACTAACACCACCCTACGTTCTCCTCTCTCCAGGCATTAGACCAAGTGCTGGTGTGTTTTGACACATAAATCCACACTGTCAGCCTTCCTTCTACAGACGTGTCAGTGAATTCTGACAATGGACGTAAGGAAGAAATACTCTGCTGTGAGGATGGTGAGCCACCAGAACAGGCTGCCCAGAGAATATGGAGATGCCCCATCCCTGGAAGTGCCCAAGGCCAGGTTGGACCAGGCTCTGAGCAACCTGGATAGTGAAAGGTGTCCCTGCTCATGGCAGTGGTGTTTGAACTAAATGATCTTAAAGTCATTGGTCACTGCAGTGTAACGGACTCTGGCTAATTCTTGTCAACAGACATACCAAAAAAACACCAATTCAGACAACCAAAATTTTAAAATTTAAGAGAAACATAACCCAGTAAATAACTTCATAGTGATTGGAATTGTCTTACAATATGGAAGTGAGAGTGATGTCTTTTCCGACAAACTACGTGCTGCACATTAAGTCACCCCTTCCATTCCCTGGAGACTGGGATTCCATTTATCAATATACCCAAAAATAGTGTTTTCTTCCAATCACTCACAGTAAATTCAGGATAATAAAATCTTATACTTCAGCCTTGAAATTATTTAGTATTCTACTGTGCACAAGAATTTCAAACAAGTGTATGATTTCATTGCATTATGCTGGGTCAATGAGCAATCGAGTACAATAAGTACAATAAATGTGTTAGATAGTGACTACAAAACAAAGAGCTTAGGCTTTAGCACAGAGCAAAAAAGAGTAAATGAAAAACCTTGACACTGCCACCCTCAATCTCACCAGATGAGCTAGGATCCAAACATCTACTACATCTACTATATATTAATTTTCCTTTTCTCCTACAATATCATCACATGAAATAACAAATGGCATTTCTTCAAAATTTACAAACCTCTTGCAACACAAAATAATTGTGCCATTATAAAGGGTATACACACCCTTATTAAACAAATCCTGTGTGGATTAAATAATAAATAATGCTTAACAAGCCAAAAGCTGCTCCCCATCAGATACTAATTTCTGGAATTAAATACAAATACATGACATTCCAGTCTATGTTTCTATTACAGATACTGTAACTGCCAATATTCTTTCAATTTGCAGCAACTCTCTATGTCAGTCTCTCAATCACTTTAAGACAATGTTCCTGCTCTGTTTAATAGTATTAAAAATACTCTATAAATACAGACTGCATGAAAATCATGTATACTGATCCAGATTGCTATTTCTAAATTTAGGTACACAACATAACAAGCAGATTTCAAATTCCTGTAGGTAAATAACTGATATATAAAGTACCCAGATATCTATACCCATTATCAAGGCCGAATTTTCAGTCCCTCTAACAGGAAGAAATTTTCTCAACCAGCACCCTCCATGGTAATTCATCTAAAAATATCCCTTTGTTGTTCAGCTCCACAGATAACAGTGCTTGTGCTACATATATACTCTTGAGGGATATTCTATAGGTTGGAAATAGTGGTGACCAGAATGAGTGAGACACCCCACAACATGCTTTCAGTAAGCACAGAGCTGCATCTGGGTATATGGCAGACCCAGGGACCAGGATGCATAAAGTATTTTAGCAACAGTGATTTTCTGCTTGTTTTCTTCCCTTTCCCAAAAAGGGAAATTGCTCATGCACACACAAAGGAAATGGAGACCCTAGCAGAAAGTTCTGGATCTACAATGTGTGCTCAAATTCATCACACACACTGGAGGGAGGCTGCAGCATACACCATAAAGCCCTCCGGCAGCATTAGGATGAGTCAGGCAGTCTGTCCATCTGCAGAGAACCTCAGATACACAATGCATGGAACTTTTACCACAGCTGTGTGAGCTTCAGGGAATAGAGTATTTGGGTAAGATGAAGAAGAGAAAATCCTAGTACAAACATACAGGGAAAATGTAGAAGAACAAAAGGTGTGAGCTGTATATCCAACCAAGCTCACCAATCTGGAAGTCAACGTGATGCAACCTTCACTCACAACAGGCAGACACCTTAGAAAGGTTTTTAAAAAGCTCTGGTTTTGTCACTAGTCACACCAATACTGTAGTGCTTGCAATTGATAACTTTTCTACTAGGATGCAAGCCAGAAAAGGATAATTCTCAAATTACTAGGGTGTCAGCAAGCCCTAAGATCAACATTTACTTGTCCTTTAATACTATGACTGTTCTTCAAAACTGTCCTCATTACCAGGAAAGAAAGGCACACCTTTCCTCCTCAGGCATCCTCAGCATTCCTGTGAGAGTTAAAATTCCAGACAGCCTAGCAAAAGAGTTCACTTAAGTTACTTTTGCTTGACCAAAGGTCATTAGTTCATTTAGTCATGTGCTGTCTTATAAAAACCTGCTGTAAAGCAACACATGGTCTCAGAAACCTCCTGCAGATTTTCCTGAGTGTTGGTGCAACTCCCCCAGGGTTTCTGAAAGCAGAATGGTGGCTGCTGTCTGCTTAAAAACAGAGAAAAATATATATATAATAGGCAATACAAGATTCAATATTATATCTTGCGTACATCACACTTCACATTTTTTTTTCTGAAGAGGTCACTAGAAAATAGGCTAAGGCTCTTAAAAAATGTGCATTTTATTCTTTTTTTGCAAAGCAGTTTGAAAGCAAAGCATTAGTTTTGCCAAAAGCAATTGCTGTGCATTAATATTAAACATGATCTAATGAAGGCAGAAGTCGTTTTGGGAAAACATTAAGAACAGCAAAAGCATCTCCTGAATTATAAGTTTATAGCTGAGAGAAACAGTACAATGAAAACACAGGCATTTCTCCTGTCAAGGTTTTGTTCCATAACCTGTAAAAATAAAGGACAGGGAAAAGAGGAAAACCAACAGTCCCTTATGGAAAGTACACCTCAACACTCTTCATGCACCACTCCCCACCCTCCGCGCCGAAAACAGCAAACCAAAATTGTAAATATACCCAAGTAAGCAATCTTTACAGTAATTAACAGGAAATGCAATGAAGCTGGAATAAAATGTAACTGGGGAAAAGAGAGGAGGAGCACTGCCTCCAACAAAACCTGCTTCCATATATTGAAAAGAAGTGTCAGTCCAAGTAAGTGAAGTGCTTGTTGCAGGTCAAAATGATTCTTTCTTCCTGGCATATATATTAAGGATGCATCAATGAGGGAGCATGTGAATCATTGGATCAATGTACAAGACAGAACAAAAAAAAAATACTGGCATAATCCCCAAAGTCCTTAAAAGGGCATTTCTTAACATTTGTCTGGGTGGCTAGAATAACAAACTAGTCTTCTCTACTGAAAGTCAGACTGCCCCAACATGGCATGAAAATACCTCAGCTATGCAGCTCATCACTAGCAAAAGCAGATTCACATTAAAAAAATTGCTGACGCTCTTGCTGGAAATCTGTCTATATTTACATGTTGTGGTTTGCACCTTGTGGCATCCTTCAAGGCCTTATACAAATAAACATAAAGAGGCATTTTTGAGAGTGCATTGACCCAAGATACCTGACAGTGAGTGCCTGGAATAACATCCTTGCCAGCTGGCTGCAACAGAGAATGTAATGATTCAGCAGTTTAATGGATCTTGAGTTTGGCAACAGTCCCCTTATAAACATCTCTTGGGAAATAAAATAATACAGGCCTAGGACTCTGGCAGGTTCTGTAATTGTTTGCTTCTGGCACAAATCCAGGGACAGCACTAGCTCTAACGTAAGGCAAATATGGCTGTATAACACTGATTCCCCAAGCAGGCTCTACTCAAAAACACAAGCGTAGAATTAGCTTATATAACATCTGATAAGGAGACAAAGAGACCAGAAAAGTACTCCTCTAAAAAAAATTATTCTTTAAATAGAAAAATGCCTAAATGAATAATGCTCGGTTTCAGAGGAAATACCTTTTCTCTTGCAAGTTGTTGTTGTTGCTGCTGTTGCTGTTTTTTAAACATTGACAGGCAGGTGAATTTTGGTCAAAGGTGCAATTTATATATATATAAACATTTGCTTTTTTATTAAAACTTAAAAATTGCTAACAGACTTTAAGAAAAAAAGTTTCAAAAACAGTCAACAAATGAAGCTGTCTTGATCACTACATGACCATTATTAAAACATGAGATTTTCTTTTATCTTAAAAGTCTACCAGCAAAATACTCACTGGAAAGTCAGAAAATGAAAGAGGGCCTCCCAGCTCAAAGACTCAGATAGCAGCATCTCTCAGTATTTTTACGAAAATAAAATCCTAACTCTTAGCACTCTGACTTCTACTTTGGCCTTCTCAACTTAATCTGAAATTATAACTATATACAGATTTACACTGGAAGTAACATAACAAAAGGTGAAAATCACAGTATTTTGCAGCCTCTGTACCTGTGAAGTGCCCCCAGAGAAAGATGACAACCTGCAAACCTCTACGTACTCATCTGTCACTTGTGGGAATGAAAAGAGCCAGCCCTCCTTCCATGATACACAGTCCCTTTGTTCCCTATGGTATGGTGAGATGAATTTAAGAAGCTATACCTCATAATAAAAGACCATAATATATACAGGGAACCAAAACATAGACCTGGCAGGCTGTAGCTCATCTCTTATTTTCTGACTGTTTTAGTTTGATCTGTCATTTACACACATTAGTATCTATGACTTTTTAATTTTTTTTTAATTAATCTCATCAAAACCACTGACTTTTCTAAATTTGTAATGAAATATTCTTAAGTAACAAAAACTTTTTCTGTTTTAAGAGACCGAGAGTACTTGCTGCACTGTTTCACTTTTTATTTGTACAAGCTGTGCTGCTGGGAGAAGTAGAAAAGCATCCAGTCTCAAGTGCAACTGTGTTTTGTACCCTAGGCTTTGCCTAGGCTTCTTCTCATACCATGCAGAAGAAGGTATGCAGGGACTTTTTATCCACTAAGTTCCTCAAACATGCACTACCAAATTTAATAATCAAAATGTAATTGGCCATTGATAAAAAAAAAAATAAATAAATTAGCCACTGTATTTCCCAAAGCTGGAAGCACTATGCAAACACTAATAAAAGCATAAATATTTTAATTTGGATACAGATTAGAGGCACAAAACATGCTGACACATCCACATACAGTACTTGAACATGTTCTTGAACATTTTAACTCTCCCTCCTAACACTCCACCAACAAACAAGTATCCTGATATTCCTCAAAAACCCTTTTCTGTTCTGCCTCCAAAACCAATTATTATGCTTGGTCATTTGCTCAGATTCCTGGAGAGCTACTCAACAGAAATTTGGAGCTTACAAAAACATTTCATGGCAAGTTAACTAAAGCTTGTTAGCATGGAAAGATACTGTAATGGCCAGCTAAATGCTGTATTACTGTTAATGCTTATTGAAGCAAATATTTTTGGAATATTTCTGAAAAATATTCATCTTTGTCATTTCTTATAACATACTTCTTAGTTATCACAGTGATGAGTATAGTGACTCACCAAGATTCTAGTTGCTTCTGAAGTCTAAACGTAGACAAGTTTTCATAATCCTCATTAAACATGCCCACATTAATTTCGTAAAAGGATATTTAGCAGTTTCACATAATTAAAACTTAAAACCTATGAAATTCATTGAACATTATTAAAATTCAGTAAGTAACTTAAAAGCAGTGACTGCTCTTTTCAACGCCAGTTTTATTTCCAACTGGAAAGCTCTGCTGCAGCAAATAAACTAAAAAAATGAATACAAATTATGAACTTTCAAGACAGAGAAGAAAATACTTCTGACTGTTGAAGCCCACCCTCACTTTGTACTCTACTGGACATACCCAGTACAAAAGGAAAGCAGAATGCAATGAAGATTTGGTAACACTGTTTTTAAACAGAAAAAGTTTTGCATCACACCATTAAAAACATCATTCTATAAAAAAGTACAACCATTGGGAGGGAGAAGCTTTAACTTGTAAATATTAGATTCCAATCCATATTGCTGTCCACAATGCCCCTGGAATCAACGAACTGCACAGCTTTCCCAGCTACCCAGCTGGTATGTCGACAGCTTCATTTAATATTCTTGTCTAGTGATACAGCAAAGACCTCTCATGCCTATTTTTAAATGCACATTTTTAATATTCAATATAATGTTACTCTTTAACAAACTCTTTACTCCCTGCTTCTTTTATGAAGCTTCCTGTGGTCTTTAAAGGGATTGTTAACCAAAGAATGGATCACACTCTTTCTGCATGAGCAAATTCAGAAACACTCCATTAAACCTTTCAGTATTTAATATAAAGAGTAATCTCTCACCTCTGAGGAGATAAGCCAGTTGCTGAGTGATTAACTCTGGTGCCTTTTGAAGAATCTCTTTTACGACTAAAGAGGAAGAACATGCTTGTATCTCCAGGCTCCTGTCACATTGCTCATCTGGATTGATGACTTTGACAACAGCTGATTCCAAACTTTTATCCTCACTATCAAGCAAATTTAGAAGTTATACATATATTTATCTTTATAGCTGCTTAGACAACTCAGTAAAAAAGTGCAAAATATTTTTTTAAATTCTGGTCTACAACAGCATTTTCATAGCTACCTGAAGCCTGCTATAAAGCAAAAGGATAACACAGGGGTCCTAAACCTGCTATTTTTAAAATTAAGTGTTCAGAGTTCTTTTACTGCTTGATACATCACTAAGTACAACATTTCCCTCATCAAAATCTATTAAATATTACTGACAAAAAGTATTTCTACATGCGCTGAAAATAGCCTTCTTTATATAGAGGAGATTCAGGATTTTCCCAATTGAATATTCTGAAAACTTAAAAAAAAATTTTTTGGTGTGTTTAGATACTTCTTGTTTCTGTTTACAATAGCAGTAACCAAGCCAAACTAATTTTAATAATAAAATACTAATTGTAACTCTTTGGAAGGAAGAAATACAGGAAGTGACAGTAAAAAACAAAAAGCAGATCTTACAGATAATTTTTACTCTGAGGACTGAATGATGCACTGAGCTGAAGGCACTTAACACACCAACAGCTATGTGATTCACCTATACTTCTCTCTTCATATTTTCCCTACTTTTAGTCTATATAAACTTCTATAAACTTCTCAGAGTACAATGGAGCCATAGGATGCTACTTGTCTTAAATGAAGTTCTAAGGACAGCTGGAAGTAAATGGCATCCTTCACTCTGGGCAAGACAGGCATACCATTATAAAGAAGCTCTTCATAAAGGATTCACAATGGCCTCATAAATAGCCCCTCTTAAGGATGGGATTATTATGGGTTTACAGACTCTGATCTTCCGGAGATCAACTCCAAGCCTTTTGAAAGGCTGTCGTTGGTAAGGACCACAATAATCCAGCCATCTTAACAGTACATATGCAAGTGTCTGGGTACCTACAAATCAGTGAAAGATTCTCAAGGGAAAGCTAACTAAGAAGCAGAAAAAAACTCTGATCTCTTATCTACTGGCCACAGGAAACTTCCAGACTATTTAACTAAATTAAAATAACTAATCTCAGATGCGTGTAAACACAAGGTTCTTAAAAGTGGAAATTTCATTAAAAGTGATGCAAAGATCATGTTCACCTTGTTACATTTATTGAACATAAAGGGAGAAAAAATACGTTTTTTTTAGGTCTGTATTAACATAACAATATTGATATTAATACAGAAAAAATGTCATTTTTTAAACAGTTCAAACTCACATAAGCCACCTTACTGTACATAAAATACAATACCTCATCAGCATGTTGCTGTTTACAAGTGTTAAAGACAATTTCCCTTCAGCATTCAGCTGATGCAAATTGATTTCATCTCGGAAGATATGGAATGACTCTGGGATATTCAGCTCCTCCAAAATAAATCTTGTCTCAGTGAAGTAGCTGAAGTCTCTTCTTGGTATGTTCAACACAGGTAAGCAAAGAACATCAGGAGGACTGACCTGTAACATAGCATAGTAACATAGCATTTGTGAGAATTTGACTTGTTTTTCATCAGGACAGTACTTGAACACAGTGAGCAATTAGAAACAGCCTGGATTTTCTGCTTGGGGCTTTCTCCCCTTTACTTAATTAAAAGAAAAAAGAGGTACTTCGCACTTTTTTTTCTTCATCTGTCTCTGTTCCTACAGAGTACCTACAAAACCAGAATAGGAAAATGAATGAAACACAGGACTGATTTTTCATGCTACTCAATAAGCCATTTAATAACCACTCATTCATTTTTGTATTAAAAGAAATGTTATTTATCTCTTAAAAATAATTTTTGATAACAACAAAATCATTGTCCAGAAAAGATATTTTTACAGCAATTGACTTGACAATAAAATGTCTATAACAACCTGGAAGAAGTGAATTAAGACCACTCAGTCCAATTTTTCCTTTACCTTGTCTAGAAAGTAGGCATAGGCCAGGGTAGAAATAAGTGAATCCAAATCACAGGGTTTATTCCCAAGAACAACATGGACTTTTTCCAGGCGTTTGCTCCTGTTCTGTAAGACATTAGAAGACAATTGCCATGAGTGGATATGATGAGAAAAAAGTAAAATCACCATGACATTTTAAAGGACAAGTTAAATATCAGACTTTGTTCTCAGTTGTAGCATTTTTCACTGCTGGCTGGAAGAGTGGACTTCTTGTGGGATAAGACATTCCTTGGCTTCAGAGTTCCCAAGAAAGCCCAAAACTAAATTTCACAAGACACCATAGTTTAGAACCCAGTGAGGTCTGAAACTGACAGAAGTCCCTTTCACAGCAAAGTAACAGATAAGCAGCAGCTTCAATGTCTGTGTGGAAAAGCTTTTCAAAACACCTGACAAATTCATTCATAAAACAGACAAAAAGGGTGTAGAAATACACAAAACAAAATGCACAGGAAATAATACCTAGCAAGTTGTGATTTTAATTTTACCCTTTTCACTTAGCTGAAATCAGTAAATAGACAAAGCAACTGCCTTTCACACTGAATCTTCAGAAGCTGAACACAGCTGAAGTACTAAGAGTTTTGAACTGTTCTCACTTAATAAAATTAGGAGCCTTTCCAACAAGAGGAAAAGAGAAGACTGTGTGAAAGAAAAGTATTGAAGGGAAGGATCTATCTTCTTCATAACCACACATAAAACATAAGATTAAGTTTTTCTAGTTTTTCTCTTGTGCATATCATTACAGTCAAGCTAGCTGCATGGAAACATAACAGTTTATTTACTTTCACTGCTTCTTAATTTGTGAAACATAGGTGCCTGATGCTAAGAGACATGCTTCAGAAACAAACACACGAAAGTAAACGTTTTTGTGTTGGCATGTACAGGTTGATGTACTTTATGCTACTTTTAACTTGAATTCTGGGTGTCAAAATTTTAATCTTTCAACAGAAGCATGTAATTACCCTTAATAATTATAAATGTGCAATTTTTCTTAAGCTAACCTTTTTCCTCTATGTCAAGTCTTAGTTCTACCTGGATATAAGGACTTAGGTTCTCTTTCCATTAATAGAACACAGCCATCAAAATACGTTTGAGTATTAAATCCAGGACACATTCTCCATTCCCTATTTTTCAGGAAAGACAGATTTAGCTTACTGAAGAATACAATACCTGGAACAGATACATTCATTTATGCTCTAAGTCTTCAGCAAACTGTCTCCATATACTCTTTTCAATATAATTTTTGTAACATGTTTCTCTGCAGCATGCATTTGATTGATTTGCCACAATGAAGAACAAAAATAAAGCTCATGAGCTCATCCTTTTTTCGGTACCCTCTCAGTAAAGAATTTCTTCTTAATATCTAATCTAAACCTGTCCTTTTCCAGTTTATGGCCATTCACACTTGTACTATCACTATGCATCCTTGTCAAAAGTTTCTCTCCGGTTTTCCTGTATTTCCCCTTTACATTATGGAATGCTGCTCTAAGGTATTCCTGCAGCCATCTTCAGGCTGAACATTCCCAAGTCTCTGAACCTGCCTTTATAAGAGAGCTGCTTTAGCCCTATGATCAATTTTAAGGATCTCCTGTGGACTCCAACAGGTCCATGTGCTCCCTGTGCTGGCACCCCAGAGTTGGATGCAGGGTTCCAGGTGAGGTCTCAGCAGAGCAGAGCAGAGGGGCAGAATCCCCTCCCTGGCCCTGCTGCCCACGCTGCTCTGGATGCAGCCCAGGACATGTTTGGCTTTCTGAGATGTAGGCACACATTTCCAGTTTATAATGAACACACACCCATAAGTCTTTCTCCTCAGGGCTGCTCTCCACCCAGCCTGTGTTTTTGCTTGGCACTGGCCTGGCCCAGGTGCAGCACCTTGCCCTTGGCCTTGTGGTTCCTGAGGTTCACCCAGGCCAATCTCTCAAGCCTGTCAAGGTCCCTCTGTGGTACTGACAGTGACTAGCAGTACCTTTTTCCTCACCTTTCCTGCTTTTCACTGAGCAGAACTTGCTTCTCTTCTGCTTCCCCTCTTGCAGATCCAAGATACATGATTTCACCATTATTTCATTTCCCCATGTGGAGCTGAATGAATGGCTTTTTAGCATAATAACCATGCAACCCTGAAGTATTGCATACTGCTCATTTTTCATGTGCAACACTGCTTCCTCTTTCACCATCTCAAATACAATTAGTTTGGTTAGCCTTCTGCATGTTAAATCAGGCATCTTCAGGAAAAGCAGCCACATGGATGGAAGGCTTCCTCTCACAGGTCTTCCCAAGCAAAATCCTGGGCAGAGAAGCCCACAGCCCAGAAGACAAAGATCCATAAACCCAAAAGGCTTAGCTACAATAGGACTAAAATGTAACTGCCTCCTGCAGTTACCACAGCTAAACCTGAGGGGAAACTTGAACTGTCAATATCTCTAAAAATTAAGAAATTAAGGAGGTTAATGATGAAGCTAGAACTCTTGAATTAAAATGCATAAGAGACCAGAGATTTCTCTTCATGATGATGAGTTTTTGTTTAGCTAGATTAAAGGTAAATTGTAAAATGCACAAGCACTGGATGACTGGGATAAAATGAATTAAAGAAATTATGTGTCATTTTCTGATGGCATCAGTCAGGATAACTTAATTTAGATCAGACCTGCTAGATTAACATTCACTTATTGTGCTCAGGAAAGTGATTTATAAACATTAGGCTACTTCTGTAAGAGATCTGATTCTCTCATATCTCTCACAGATATTTACCATGAAGAAATTCTCGTATCTGTTCAGTTTTGCTGTGTAGTAATACATAAAAGCATGACTATGCAACTGCATCTCTATGTAACTGCAGTAAAAATATCATTTATTAGTTCCCACCTGCATCAAACAGCTGATATATTCAAACATACTGCAATACTGGCAATCAGGTTTGTAAAAGTTTTCATCAAGACATGTTAACCACAATGATTGATCAAACTACAGTATTCCAGTCAAAAATTACATTGTCTCTACTTTTTTTTTTTTCTTCTGTTAATAGAGAAGCTGAAGTGATCTTGCAAGATAATAAACACTACAGACTCAGTATAAACAGGAATGCCTAAAAATGCTTACTGTCTCAAGGCAAAAAAACTTTTCTATTTCCTTCATACACATTCACCCGCAGTCACACACAGCCTTGCTTTCTGAGTCACTACTTGCTTTTTGCCTCAAATTTCACAAGTTCTGTGCCTAAACTGTAATGAAATCACTGACTTTTACTGCATGGAATGGGACAGCACTTGTCAAGCACAGCAATTCTTTGAAGAAACAATATGGCTTAACAGAAGCATATTAAAAAGGAAGAAGCTGCAGAACCACAGAAGGTGCAGTGTTATATACAGTGTCAGATACAACACTGAAAACTTCTCCAGTCTTGTGGCTGAAGCACCAACCAGGGGATGGATGCAAGCTTCACAGACACAGCTTTCCTGGAGGAGCACAGGGGAAAACCCTACCTACTCGGACTAAGGCCAAGATAGACAAAAAATCTATCTTTCAATATTTAAAGTCATCAAATCAAATGAAAGAGGATTTCTGTACCTGAAATTCTACCTCCAAATCAGAGGTACAATTTACTGAGTAGTCATTTTGGAGCACAACTTGCATTTCCCTTATAGTACCAGGCAGTATTATGCTTCCAGTGGCCTGAGGGCTTTTAACATGATTATATGTCTCTGTTGTCAAAGAAATGGTTTTAAGCCAAAGCAAAGTTAATTTAATATTTAATGCAAAGTTACAGTTAGTTAAATACTTTCTAAGTCTTTCCAGAAGAAAGCTTTATACTGGCCTGAAAAAAAACAGATGGTCTCTTATTCTAAGAAGAGATATAAGAGAATCTTTGTTTTCTCCCACTTTTTAGGTCAGTCAAAAAAATTATTGTATTTCTCTGCCCCTGTAGTATCCCAATTATCATGGACAGTATATGACACATAGTAATCTAAAGTAGTAGCTGTCAAATATCTGGTCACACAATGATTCTTCCCTAAGGAAAATAAGTATAGTCACAAAAATTTCAAGTGTGACATGTTCCAATAATTAACTATTTAATATCCATTGTACAGTCTTGCTTTACTTACAAATCTGAAAAAAACCAACCTTTTACAGCAAACACCAATACCACTAGCAGAACAAAATATAAAACAAAAGGGGCATTTTCTAAGTCCACACCATCTGCTTTTGTGTGGGAGACACAGCCTTACCAGTAAGATAAACAAAAGTGGAAGGATCAAAAACTTAACACCATCCTTAGGAATTGCTGGAGAGGCATAAAATGTTATCTGATACTTTGCTTTGAATGGGATACGATAAGAAAAGGCTATGACTAGTCTATAAAAAAGACTAGTAGAAGGTCTTCACACCTTAGCTGTTGTACATATAGAAGTTTTATTAACACAATTTATCCAGTCATACTTGCACTCTGATGATGACTGCACTTCCTTACAGCAGGTTGAGCATAGCCTTATGATTACATCTGCTCTTCTGAAAATAGTATTTTAAAAGCTATATTTAAGAGTCAACCTCTTGATAAAAATAGTTTTATTTTAAAATGTTGCTTCCCAAATTCACAATATTCCACAGGATTAGGATTTTCCTTCAAAATTAATAATGGAAATGAGGCATGGTAGCTAACTGACATGCCAGCCAGGTAAGAAAGTCTTATCTTTGGACTGTTCCTGGAATTTCCACAGGACAGGAACTCTCTATTCCAGTCATTTCTAATCAAGAATTGGCACGGTCAACCATTGTTGATGAGAATGTAGTTCAGTATTTCTGCATTACCAACAGGCTCTGACTTGGAATTCTGCAAGCAGACAAACTTAACACTATTCAAGAAATAATCCTGAGGAACTAGAAACATTTATTCCTTTTTCAATTTTAGTTTATTTTACAGTCTGTAACTGCAAGCAAGTCTGCTCTGCTTGTTTTGGAAATATCTTCTCTCTAGCTTATTATATATATTCATTCACATTGCAAAAATCCAGAAATGAACAATGATTTCTACATCAAGTTTTCATTTGAAAAAGAATAGCTGGAATAATCAAATAATGCATAAATTACATTTTAATATAAGAAAGAAGCACTACATAAAATCAGAACATCAATCAAAATCTTGTTGGCTCCTTTTAAAATTATATTTATTCCATCAATTATTTTGGCATTGGTTTTTCCCCATGTTTTATAAGCTTTACATGTTTGCACTCTCCTGCTTCTACAAATTTTTTGCTTTCAGGATCAACACTTGAGACACCACTCCTACTAGATCATAGAGTGTATGTACCCAGAATACCCAATAGTATGTGGTTTTCAAACTGAATCCTACATAGGGTACATTTATATGCCCAACTTGCACACAAGTTTGAAAGTGTGACTTTGACACCATATGCTTGTATCCCAACTTTGCTGCTATATCAAGGTAAAAACTGCATTAAGTCAGACAGACATTAAATACGTTTTGTCTTAGAGAAACCTAAGTCTTTATGATGTAAGATAAACAAAATGATAAAGCAAATTCTTATTTTAATGGTTTTAGGCTCAGTAACAACATTACATTACTCTTCCTGCAAGACAAACAGGATATGGTCTCCTGTGGCTGGAAAAGGAAAATGTTCCCAGCACAATGATTATTAAGCTTTACTCAGCAGTACTTCAACAGTCTGTCAATAGGATTCTCTTTGACAGAAGTTACTAAAATAAAAATCAAAGTCTCCCTCTTTCGTTTTTGCCACATTAGTTCATTTGTTGTTCAAAAAAACCTATGTCTTGCATAGGATTAGCGCTCTCACCTAATAACTGAGTATTCAGCATACAGAAATTCAGCTTTGGAAAAGAGCAAGTTATATTCCTATTCCAGGTCATCTTCAGTGCCTAAAGTCAGTCACACAAAATCTTTGAATTTCCACCTCAAGCTAACTCCTCTTCCCACTTCCTCCCCACCTGCCACTTAACATGCAGAAGTGAGACTAGGATGCCTGCCTAGCTAACAGGACTTGATTGTATTTATCTCCCTTAGGAATTGTTTGGCTTACTATAGAACCAAACTCTTCTTCGAGATATTTGATATAAATGACTTTAAGGAGTACATTTGCCGGAGGAGCAGAGTGCCCCTCTCATATATCAGCTCTGTGGTGTGTCAGGAGGTGACTGGTAGCAATAAACATCATACACTGCAGAGGCTAAATAAATTATATAGAGCAATGAGAAAGTGTATTGGAGAAAAACAGGTGGGCTTGTTTTGGTGAAGGCAAGTGAATGAAATCCAAACAAACCAGTTAATTTACCTGCCTCTCACAGACCTAACATCTGACCTTGGATTGCTTAAGTTTAGCTGCTTCTTTAAAATGAAGGAAGCAACCAAGTTTAAATTTACCAACAGCCAGGCAGAACTTGAACACTGCATTTT